AAGATGGGGTTTTTCAGAATGCATCCCCATTCAAGTTCACTGCATTTCAAGTACTAATTTGTTAATAATGGGATCTTTTTCTTTTTGTTATTTCTCTGCTTCTTTTTTGTTTTTAGGGGACATTTTAGGACTGGGTTTTCTTGAAATTTTGCAGGCAGGGCCAAGAATATGTCTGGGAAAGGACTCAGCATACCTGCAGATGAAGATGGCATTGGCAATACTGTGCAGATTCTTCAAGTTTGAGTTGGTGGCAGGGCATCCAGTGGAGTATAGGATGATGACCATTTTGTCCATGGCTCATGGACTCAAGCTTACTGTTTCACCAAGATAACTCTGCTTAATTAGAGCCTAATAAGTAATTAATTAATAAGATTTTCATTTTTAGCTGTTTCATTTTCTCATCATCATCATCATCATCATCATATATATATATATATATATATATATATATATATATATATATATATATGTATATATGTATATGTATGCATATCAAAGTAACTGTAAGTAAAATGGTAGAGTTAATGGGGGAATAAAAGTTGATGTGTGCTCTAAATATGTATGCATATGAGAGTTATAGTTCCTCTGTCCATATAAATATTTTAAATGAATGTTACTCCGTATTAAGCTTTGATCACAGATTGTGGAAAAATATATTGAATTGTAATTTAAATTTGATATATATATATATATATATATATATATATANGGGTAGGAACCGTCATTTTTACAAACGGAGCACCGTAAGTACCCCAAACGAACTAGTGTAAGAAAATGACACCAGTAGCACTGGTGTCATTTTAGACTTACCGTGTGTGTGTGTGTGTGTCTATATATATATATATATATATATATATATATATATATATAGACACACACATACAAATATTACAGCTAAAAATACATACTCGGTGGGTTTAGGTCAATCAAATTTTTTTCATTTTAAAAAACAAGTTTCTCTTCTATAATTTTTTGTTTAAATTAATGGGCCCTTAAATCTTTTTAAATTAATTATTTACATATAAAAAAATATGTCAAAGATTCTAGAAGAATACAAAACAAATATCTTAATTTATCAAGACCCGTTGGCATTAGTGTTAGAGATTAGCATTAACATTTTGAAATATTATCTGACGTATGGTAGTCTTTAGCACTAGCATTTAGAGAATTAATCTATACCATTAAAATTTTATCAAAAATGATAATGTTAATCGAAAATATTCTTTCCAAACAAGACCCAAATACTCCTTAATATATTAAAACAAACAAATAAACTAACTTCCCAACATAGCCCAGATGCCAGAAGTCCTAATTCCGTTGGCCCAGATTCCGATTTTGTAATGGAACGCAAACTTTTTTCTTTTTTTGAACCCTCTGCAAATCTGCGCCTCTGCGGCATCGAACTCCATATTTCCACTACCTCTTGATCACTTTCAGCTTTGGTATCTTTTCCCCTCTGCTCTTCTTTCTTGACTCCTGATAAGGTATGCCTTTTTCCCTGTTTTAAGCACTTAAATAACGTTAAAGATTCCTTTTTTCTTTTCTGATACATATGAAAGAAATCTGGGTTGCATTTTGTTATCAATCTTTATTGGAAAATCGGGCCTGGAATTGAAATGTGGGGATCATCGAACATCATTTTATAATGGGAGAGTTTTTGTTGTTGTTTTTATCACCTAATCTTTTGGTGGATCATGGTGAAGACCTCAGAGTTCGATTTCTTGCAATCTTTTGATTGTTCCAAAGTGGTGTTTAACGTTGATCGACATATTCTTTCTCAAATTAAGCACGAAAGATTGTTACTTTTAATGTTCATCAGGTAGGCACCCATATGCTAATTGAAAGAATGGTCTGGACCTTCAACCATGTAGACAAAAATCTCTTAATTCTGTTTTTTTTTGTGTCTCCAATCTGTTTTCTTGATTTATAAGCTTAATTTTGATGATCTAATTTACTATTTTGTTGTCAAATGATCCATCAAACTATGCAAGGAAACAAGATATGGTTTGACCGAGTGAATAGTAAGTTATGATCTTGTATTGCTGAATAGGATACACACCATGTTGAACTCGAGCAACGCTGAGAACACAAAGGAACTTGAATCCGTCAATAACTCTCAGCAATCTCAGGTTGAAGAGAATTCATCTGTGGATGATCTTGAAGTTGCCGGAGTAAAGGAAAAGCCTAAGCCATTGCAGAAGGAGGTAAAGTCTTCTTGATGATCCTTGAAGACATTTGATAGGGTTAAAGCCTTGTATTTCATTTTTTCCTCGTCTTTCTTATTCCATTCCCATGTCATTCAATCTTGTTGGTTGAATTTTATTGAATCATCCATTATTAACCATTTACATTGATGAAACAACAACGATTATCATTACATTCATAGCTTGAAACGAATTTAACTAGAAGGGTATCTTGGAAACAACCTCTCTACTTCCTATTTTGTGTGGGATTTTACTGGGTCAGTTGTTGATGATGATGGTGATGATTTTAACCAGGATGAAGTAGTAAAGAAAAAGTATGGAGGATTGCTAGCAAAAAAACCTCCGCTGATATCAAAGGTGATTATTATCATTTCATTCATATAGCCTTAAATCTCTTCATGTATGCTTGAGATTCATCGCTTCCACTGACCTCGACTCACCTGTAAACTGGTCATAGGACCACGAACGTGCATTCTTTGATTCTGCTGATTGGGCATTAGGAAAGGTACATCTTTACTAGTTCTATGGGTTGACATTAACTGGTTTTTGAATTTATGCACATTTGATCATGCTTTGAGCATTGGTTATTCTTCCAGCAAGGCGCCATGAAGAGCAAAGGGCCATTAGAAGCACTTCGCCCGAAGATGGAAGTATGTTTTGTATTTGTTAGTACCCAATCCATCCTCACCTTTGAATGACTTGGATTAGCTGAACACTGCTAATACATGAAGGGCTTTTACGACAAATGTCAAACGCTTCTTTCACTTTTGTGTGTCTAATCATAGTTAACAGCAAAAATCTAACTTTTTCATAAACTTAAATATGATCAATTGCAGCCAACGCCACATCAACAAATCCCTACAAGGCTCTCATCATCTGCCCCTGCTGATGATGCCGATGGAGAAGGTGCGTTACTTAAACGGCATTCCAATAGCCAGTTTCAGATATTATAAGCCGAGATTATAGTCCTTAATTGCCTCTTTCTTCCCCTCTCAAAGGCACCACGGAGGACAACATCAAGAATGGCGAGTCGGATCAAATGGAGGAGGAGAAGTGTGGGACAAAACCAGATGAGATCACAAGTCTCTGATGAGCTCCACAACCTGCACAGCTAACCATTTGGTGAAAAACTATTATCTTGTACTGGAAATAATTGGGAACAAATTTTTGTGCCTCTTGTGTATATCAGCATGGTTTGACCTTACCTTTTGTGGGATTCTACTGGGATTGTTGTTTATGTAAATCAGTATAATGTGAGGAACTTGAGAAAGCTTATGAAACAGAGTTTGATTCATAACCAAATTATATGCTCCATAGAAACTAGTTTTACCTCTGCACTGGCCAATGATATACAGAGTATTATAATTCTTGTTATCCCTTGTTTTATATATATAAGAATTCTGATTTTTGTCCTTCAAATACTTTCTACTTTTAAAATAAGTTTCATTGTAATTTCTTTTTTACATCACATCAGCAATAACTCAAATGAGCACTAAAATATCTAAATTTCTCAATTAGCTACTTCTAAGAAGATGCATTAATATTGGCATTGGGACATGGGACTGGACCCAACCTTTGAGAAATCTTTGACCTTAAAGTTCAATCTTTTTAGTGATTAATGATTAGGGGTAGAGTAACTTTGTGTTGATAAAAATCATAAGATCCTAATAGTCAATCTGCCATGTTCCTTTGTCTCTTTATGTTTTTTGTTTAACTTGTGATGATAAAGCAAATAATTTCATCTTATTTTCTCGGCCTCGAAAAGAATATTAAACGAAATAGTTTGACTTATTTCAATCAAGATTTATAAATTTACTATGGTTAGCATAAAATAAAAAATATTATATTCAGCTATATTTCAATTTTATTACTCCGTAGTAGAAAATTTTTGAAAGAGAAAAAGTCAAATTGTGACTTTTTTGTAGAATGGAATTAGTATTACTTAAATCCTTAATTTATGAAGTGATTACCATTTCAGTTGGCAATTATACACCTAATTGAGTTTGTTGACACTTGACAACCAAACAATATAATCCCAATGAAATCCTCTTGTAAGAATTTTGTGCGTGATCGAAGACAATTTTGTTACACCAAAATTTACCAGTGCAAACACTTATGAAAAGAAACAAAGTTTGACTAGCTACTTTTGTCCTTTAAAAAAGAAGTAGCTTTTTTTATGATTCTTTTTTAAGTATTTTTTATTTTTTGATACTTTATTTTCTTTTGAATTTCAAGGAAAAATTGTGACCCCTCATGACTTTTCATTACAATTTCCATCTACTATTTAAATAGACCAATTATAACTAAATCCTTTTAACAGTCTAAAAATGAGCTAATATACACAACCTTTTCTTTAAGGTTGTAAGGTAATTTTCAACTTCTAACTCCATTTAACAAGTCATTAATCGTCACCCTACTCCATTCTACATTGAATTTAATATTTAATTTTTGAATTTGTCTTTAAATTTAGTAAAAAATAAAATCATTAGAACAAATTCTAAGTAGATACTTTAATAAGATGTCTCATAGATGTTTCAAAAAAAAGATGTCTCATAGATTTTTTTTTTTAAATTTGAATTTGCTTGAAAATAGTCAAAAAAAATCCATTTTCCGTGATACTTCATAAAATAAAGCACACACAAAAAGGGATTGGAAAAAAGGGGCAGGCAACAAAGAAGGGAAATGAAAGTGCACAGAAGAAAAAGAGAAAGTAGAGGCGCAAAAGAGTGAATATGGGACAAAAAGGAGGGGCATGCAAGCAAAAAAGTTGAACTAAAAAGTAACCAATCGCCCTCAGTGCGCAAGATTAGGGTTCTTATTCACAATTTGCAAAGATTCTGCACTGAAATCACACTTCTCCATTTCTGGATTCATCGTCTTCGCTCTTGGGTTCTTTGTCAAAACTCATATCTCCGGCCGCCGTGAGCCTCCGTTCTATCTAAAGCATTTAACTTTCCTCTCTGTGTATGTGTGTGTGTGTGTGTATTTGTTTGGGCATAACAAATCAATTAGTGTTTTATGTTTTGATCCTTGATTGAATGGAATATGTGGTATGAGAAGATTTTAGTTCAAGGAAGAGGTTTCTTGAAGTAACTCAGAACGAAAAAAGATTGTCTTTTTCTTTCCCCATTCGTTTTAATTGTGATTTTTTTGAACTTTGAGTGGAGTACCTTAGTTTCTTAGGTGCTGTTTAGTTAAGACTCTTCATCTATGATTTCTTCTTACCATGTTGAGTGACCATTATTTCCGGTGTTTGTGGTGGCTGTAGTTGGGTCTTAGCTGAGGTGGCGGACTTCACTGTTGAGAAAGCATTTCTTGGCAGCTTAGTTTGTTCATAGCCGGGGTCTTTTCATGCTGATTTCTTTTATAGGATATGAGTGTTGGTTCTTCAAATGATGGAAATGGGGTTCTATTGAAATCTTAGACCGAGTGACCCTTTTGAGCTGTGTACGTGCTTGAGGAAGGAAATGAAGTAACAATAGTGTAACATTTGTGTGTCCTCTAAAACATAGCAAAAACGGGGTCTCTTTGTTGTGTGGCTGCGAGGCCACATGGATCGACTGCAACCAGCGGGGAATGGTCCACGGGCCCGCACGATCCTTACTGGAGAACTAATTCGAGCTTCTCCCCACCGCCTACAAGGTGGGATTTCCGGTTCCAATCTGAAGCATTGTCGTCGGGTTCTCATGACGGGCCCCACTTACACGGATCATCGGCTTCGTCGAACAGCAGAGAAAGTAGGAGCTGGGGAAGGAGAAACCAATTGACAAACCACCACTATCTTGTATCTGATGCTGTTGGTGCATACTATAGCAGCCCATCTGATAACTCTCCCATTCAGCAGTGGACTCCCCCTGTAATACAAGACATCAGCCACGGTGATTATGACACTTCTAGGCAAGGTAAACAGCTGATTTATGCTTTGTGCTTTTTGCCCATTGTTATTGTTTTTTTCTCAAACCTTTCCGTTTTTGCTTCAATATACTTTTTTTAGTTACAGGTAATTATTATGTGCTTTCTGGATTTTCTTTTCCCATTGCTTCGTTTAGTATGCTATATTTCAAGAATAGGGAATTATTATCTAAGTGCTTTCATGAAACTTGTGTAACGGTTCATATTCATACAGTAACCTATTTGTTACACTATGTTTGGTTCATGGAATTTGGAAGGAAAAGAAAAGAAAATGGTTTTCCATTAGTTTCCTCACCAAAATGGGAGGAATTTGGTTTTCCATCCTCTTAATACATTTTGCTTTCTCATTTTCTTTTCCTTCCACTTTTCTTTTCTTTTCCTCTCTAACCAAACAAGAAAAAATGTTTTCCTTCTCATTTTCTTTTCCTTTCCCTCTCAAATTCCTTGAACCAAACATAATGTTAGNCACTATGTTTGGTTCATGGAATTTGGAAGGAAAAGAAAAGAAAATGGTTTTCCATTAGTTTCCTCACCAAAATGGGAGGAATTTGGTTTTCCATCCTCTTAATACATTTTGCTTTCTCATTTTCTTTTCCTTCCACTTTTCTTTTCTTTTCCTCTCTAACCAAACAAGAAAAAATGTTTTCCTTCTCATTTTCTTTTCCTTTCCCTCTCAAATTCCTTGAACCAAACATAATGTTAGTGATTTGCTTGGTAGTTTATCATATTTAGTGCTCATGTTTTCAGAAAAAGTAGGAAAATTTACTCTGTAGTTCCGTTGGTCTTGTTTCTGCGTATATCTTTGTGATGATTTTTACCTTTATATTGCCATAATCCTTTCCACAAAATTTTATTGATAATCTTGTTTACTTCTAAGTTCTAACATGCTTTTACATGAATGGTACCAGATGTTACAGTATGCATATGAATGGTATATTGATATGAGCTGATTATGAATGTTTGTTACTCTTTCTGAATAAAGGCTTTCCTTTGTCTCTTCTTATTGTAGAAAAGAGTAAGCTTTAGGTTGTGAATTCCAGGTGGTGTGTACACATATCTTGATTTAAATACATATTGGCATTTCTGTGTTCCTCTTTAAGTATGTAGGCACTTATGGTCTGGACTTCAATTTTTTTGTAATTGTAGTACTGTGCTTTAAGGTTAATAAGAGATTAGGGGAGAGATCATAGAAATCTCCAGAAATGGAGCTAACCCTCGATATGTTCTGAGGCAGAAACCTCAGAATTGACCCTAAAATGGAAAAAACTTTGTGAAATCAAAATGAGGAAATTATTCATGGCCTACTCCCTTATGCATTTTTAAGTGCAGAATCACACTGCTTTTACCATAATTAAGGAAATATTTAAAGAATCAAATAGGCATTTTTTAGGTACGAACTTCTTAAAGCTTCCATGGGTTACATCATCGTTTACTTGTAAGCGCCATGGAATCATGCTGGATTATAAGCTGTTTTCATAAGCTTAGGGGGTTACTTTCAGTAAGATTTAAGCTCTGGTGCATATTACTATACTCCCTCCGTCCCAAAATGAACCATATGATTTTTCTGAATGCATAATTGGCATTGATATAATGCCTTAATGCATGACAAATAAAATATATTTCTATATTCAATTTTCATATTATGCAAATTATTTGTTTCTGAATTGTAGCTTTTAGTGGCTAATGTTTTCATATTTCCCGTCCTCCTAATGCAGTTTTGAGGCCTTCATCCTTCTCATTGACGATGGAGGTACATTCATGTGTTTAATACTTCTTACTTTTTAGTTAGTGACTCGGGCAAGGGTATTTTGACACCAAGCATGGGTGTCATATTATGACACTGGCCATTTGAGGTCCTATGGTGCTACGTCGGACCCTAAAGTGGTTCCTATTGCCCTAACCTCCCACAAACCCCCAACCCGCCCTCCACTCCCCTTGTTCACAAATATGCTAGGGATCAAGGGGGGTGGGGGTTTGCGAGGAGTATGAACCACTTCTGGGTCTCAATATATATTATGACACCGGTGTCAAAAGAGTTGTGGTCTAATGAATTATGGAATACTAATAACTCCGTATTATTTTTGGGTACAATTTTGAAATGCCAACACGTTTATTGCAGGGAAATTCGAATGCTAGGGATGGAAGAGGCTCAACTTCTTCCCGATCTGAAAGTAGCGACAGCGAATCCATAGCCAAATCACATTCCTCTCACCGTAACTTTCCAAGTTACCGCTACTTCATGTCCAAACCCATTCACCCGCTCTCACTTCCACCCAAAACACCCAAAAGAGGACCGGTTCCAGCTTCTGAACTTGGATCACCCACTCCTCTGGGAGAGAAACACCGCTCCAGCAGTGCAAGTATCAGTGTTGACCTCACCGAGGAGGATCCCGACCCGCCCCTTGAACCCGAACGACCTGTGGGTAGCTCTCTCACTGTTTCGGACAGTCCCATAAAATGCAGCTTGTGTAATAGGTATCTCTCGCAGAGGTCTCCTTGGAGTGCCCGGCGAATTGTCCGGACCAGCGACATGCCGGTCGCCGGCGTGCTTTCTTGCTGCCACGTGTTCCATGCGGAATGCTTGGACCAAACAACGCCCAAGGCACGTAAGACCGATCCTCCATGCCCGGTTTGTGTTGATGGGTCCCGTAACACCATTCTGTCACTTAACCGTAGCCGGATTAGGAAGAGCATGTCATTGAAGGGCAATATGGGTAAAGAGTTTCCGGGGAGGTTGGGGAGAATCAGCCCGTTTTCTTCGCAGTCGTTTGTGGAGTCGATGGATCATGCCGCCCTTTAGTCTCTTGGGAATATGATTTGATGATATTTTGGCCCTTCTCAGTTAATGATGATGATGAAAATGGCTTTGGTTTAATCCTGTTGTAGTCTTTGTTTAGGGGAAATTGTTGTAAGATCATGTAAATGAAAACCAGCATCTCTAATGTTTTTTATTCTCAATTGTCTTGTTTTTTTGGATGGCTTTGGCAAATGAAATTGTTTTGCTCTGTTTTTATCACCCTAAAATAGTCCTGTTTTTCCCCTCATTACTTATTGTGGATTACAGGGAAAAGCCTTAATCTAAGTCACTTCCAAACCCATTTCCGGCCTTCCATCACTCCGTGCCCTAGGCTATTGGTTCCGAACCAGGAGACCCGATCGAGGCCCACTCTTGGAGCAATTAGGGTTCGTGGGTCGCATTGGATCACCTCCCGCACCTACCCTTTGCTGGTTTCAACCGTTGGAATCACCCCGAATCGCAAAACAGAGTATTTGATGGGGTTTTTGGTTCAAATGCTTGTTTAAATCGTCGTAAGTTGTGCATTCTCGGGTTCTTGCAGCTACTCAAAGTCACTATATATTACTTAGGAATCGTGTTTGATCATGTTAGTTAACCACTATGACTATTACACCACCGGAACCCAAGTAATTCGGATCAAGGTGCCGATGAGGGCGATGATTTTAACCATGGAACTGTGAATAACTGCGGTTGAGCGCGCAAGATACACGCGCTCACTAATCACTAGCATTTCTTTGTAAAATGGATTGCTAGTGCCAAGATCACATGGTCTTTTTAATAACTTTCTTATTGCATAAACATGTAACTAGAATTCTTCTTCTTTGTCAGCTGTCTTCACAGAAACATCTCTGCTCCAATGACATGCCAAATTGAGAGTGACTGAAACAGATGGGAAGCTTTCCAATCTAACCATCTTGTGGACAAGTCAGCCATGGTGGCTGTTCCTTCACTTATTGCTGCAATTCAATACTGTTCTTTCTTGAAGGGCTTCAATGGAAAAGAAGGTGTTATAGGGGGGGTGGCAATGAGAGTGACAAGGAAGAATAACTACTGAAGTACTTTTTCTCTTATGTGAAGTCTTACCTTGTGATTGGAGTGATTTGGACAAGTGACTCTCATAACTGTTTCCCTTTCACTCTCATGCATTCATTTGCCATATGCTCCACTTCTCTGTGCTGTCAAACTTCTTTTTTTTCCCTCTTCAACTTTGGACCCTAAAGTAGTGTTCTCCCACAAATGCCCACACCTACTACCCCCTCCTATTTTGCTACTCTTAGTTTGTGAACTAGGGTCTCTTTGGTCACTTTCTCTTTGTTGTTAAAAGAGTGCGCTCTTGCGTGGTTGTTTTTGTCCCTTGGGGTTCGACTTTAACAACAATATAATGTCGCATTACGGTTATACTTTTTTCGTGAATACTTTTTCTTGTATCGATTTTGCTTGAAGGAGTAGAGAAACTGTTTCCAATTTGCGAGCGTTTTTCATTCGGATTAGCGAAGAGGAGCGGGAGATGCATTACATATCTTCTTCTCCTTCTTTGTCTATTTAGAAAATTACTGTGGGATACCCTTAATTTTCTCGCATTAACTTCCAGGTCACTCCGGGGTTCTTAAAGTTTGTGATATTATACTCGATAGTACATTCTGTCTATTTAAGCGCTAAGATTGAAATGCATTTCCTTTGATAGATTAAAGAATTTTATTTAAATTTAATAAAATAATGACTATTAAGGTAAAATTTAGTATTTGTCAAAGTACCAGAACTTTTAATCCTAACGGTCAAGTAGACGGAATGTACCCTCGGAATATAATACCACTAGTTTTAAAAACTCTATGAGCATATTTTTTATTGAACGCTGGAAAGATAAATTGAGATATAATTTCAATTTTACAATAAGTGTATTAGTGTATGTCTCTAGAACTTTACGGGGGCGTTATATTGCGTGAGATTGTCGTCCATCAATTGTTTTGGCAAAACAGTCAATTATTGTTTGAAAGTTTGAAATTGATTTTGAAACAACTTCTAAACTATGTACTAGACCAATTGATGGACAACTATGTACTCGGAATGATCTCTTGGCAAAATGTTTTGACAATCAATTGTTAGGTACAAGACTATCAATTGTCAACTGAAAATTCAACTACAACGGAGGGAGTATTTTTCTAGAGGAACGGTCGATTATTAGAGGTTAACAATCGATTGTCTAAACGTCGTACGTTGGAATATAACAAATAGAATTTTGATTTTTTTCTTAATGCACTCACTAATTAGTAATTACTCTTATTAAATATAAATAACCTATATAAACAAGGGTCTTTAAAGAAATATTTGCACTAAATACCACTAAAACTTAAGTCATTTCCCTAAATAGCACTTAAATTGTTTTATTCCCTAAATAACACTAAATAATGTCCATAATGTCCAGTGATGACGAATATTTACTTGAATAATGACTAATGCATAATGACTAAGGGGCTGTTTGTTTCAGCCTCTTAATGGTTCAGATGTCTGAATGGTTCAGCACTTAATGGTTCAGACTGTTTGTTTCAGCCTCTTAATGGTTCAGATGTCTGAATGGTTAAGAGATTTGCCTCTGAATGGTTAAGTATTATACAGAGTCTGAATGGTTAAGACCTCTAATCTGAATTGATCAGACATTTGCCTCTGAATAGTTAAGCAATATACTAGCTCTTAATGGTTCAGACCTCTTACTGGTTCAGCACTTAATGGTTCAGACCTCTTACTGGATCAGCACTTACCGATTCAGAAGTTGCCAAACAGCCCCTAAAAGTGCTACATTGGGAAGAAAAACACATGTGGTGCTATTTTGATAAAGTCATTATGTTTTAGTACTATTTAAGTAAATTCCTCGTCTTTAAATACAATTGAACGGTGGGATATGATGAGTCGTGGTCGGACTGGAGTCGGAACGACTTCAAAATCGAACGAATTATCGTAGTTGTCTCAAATGAGCGGTGTCGTTCGACTCGACGTTACCGTAAGACCGGTATCAACCAAATGATGATGTGAGATTAATGTACGTCGCAGGTGGTGGCTTCAACGGTTGAACCACCCTCTTCTCCGCCGCAGTAAGAGTGGTTCTGCCACTCCATTTGCTATCGCATCCAGTAAACATTTGACTCTACAACTAGAAAAGATGGATGAACTAATTTAAAGAGCCATTATGGGTTTGACCCAAATCTCACCATAACACTTTGACTATCCCCTACTTTCCATTCTCACTCCATTCCATTTACACTCATTTCCTGCCCCACACCATAACAAAAACAAAATATAATATCACCATTAACAAATACTATATTCTAATACTACTGATAACCCCGTGTATATATTTTTAAAATAATTTGAAAGTGAAGGATTTTAAAAAACAAATAATAAAATAATGGTTACTCTGTATTTAAAATCAAAATGTGAAGGATATAGAAAATATGTTTGTAAAATTTTAAAAATTATAAATGTTGCTTGTATATTTGTTTAAAACACAATGAGTTAAAGCTCAAGTATTATGTGATTATGACTTTTCATTTTCTTCATTCTCTTAAAAAATTAAGTGGCAAGAGATGGCATGATGTGGCAATCTATTTGGCAATAAACTAATGACGTGGCATGACACATGTCGTAACCACAATTAATCCGCTCAACTTTATATATATATATATATATATATATATATATATAGATATAGATTTTGGTTCGGGTGAGAATGCAATCTTATGAAAGAAATAAGAATGAATCTGGTGCTTTAGATTGTGAGATCTAAGGGTCGGGATTGCATTAAAATTTGGTGCACCAAAATGTTTTGAAAATGCATCATATCGAAATGCACCAAAATTCCTTGAAAATGTACTATCTTAAAATCTTAGTGCAGGATGCAATCTGAGCCGCACGATGCATCAGATCCAAAGGCTAGATTTTATTCTTATTTCTTTCACCAAGGTGCATTCTCACCTGAACCGGCCCCTATATNATAATCATTTTTGCACAAAGATTTCAACTTTTTTAGCGCTATATTATGATATATATATATATATATATATATATATATATATATATATATATATATATATATATATATATATATATATATATATATATCATAATATAGCGCTAAAAAAGTTGAAATCTTTGTGCAAAAATGATTATTACTCCGTATGACTATTTCTTGGGAAGAAAATGAAACATTGATTTGAGACAAATGAGTGATTATCCATATTCATTCATTCAAATGAAAAAATATAGGGAAATTTATACTAAATAAGACTAAAACATAAGTTATTTCTCAATGTAGGACTTAAATTTTTTTATTTTCTAAATAGTACTTCATCCGTCCCTAAATAGATTACAATTTTTTTCTCTCATCTCGATAACTTTTGTTTGTTTACGCGATTTCATTAAGAATTTGATAAAATAAAATATTCTTGTCACATCTTGTTTTGTAGAACTTTTGACGTAATTTTTTAATATGTAATTTTTATATCTTATTGATATACCAATTTGTAAATAAAATGATTTCAAAAAGCAGAAAATTTTTCTTACTAACCCGCAATTTGTAATCTCTTTAGGAACGGAGGAAGGACTTAATAATGTCTAGTGGGAGGAATAATTTCCAGTCATGATACGGTAGACAATTAATTGAATAATGGCTAATGGATAACGATTAAGAAATATTTGCACTAAATAGCACTTAAACTTAAGTCATTTCTCTAAATAGCACTTAGATTATTTTCTTCTTTAAATAGCACTTTATAATGTCCATAATGACCAGTGATAGCAAACATTTACTTGAATAATGACTAATGGATAATGACTAAAAGTGCTACATTGAGGAAAAAAAATATGTAGTGCTATTTAAGGAAAGTCATTATACTTTAGTGATATTTAGGTAAATTCCTCAATGATTAATAGTCTAACATATGTAAATAAAAACCCCGTATGATTTTATATTGAAAAAGTCATTATATTTTAATTTTATTTAAATAAATTCCCCAAAAATATACTCCTCAATAGAATACAAGAAGAAAAGACAAAGGTGATGAGTGACAGAGGGAGGGAGAAGCGTGGGATATGACATTATTCTCATCATTATATATACACGGAGTATGTATGCAGTATATGTATGTGTTTATGTATTCTGTGAAAAAAAAGTAAATACTTAAATGAGAGATAAATCATTTGTAAATATTCTTGAATGGGGAGTGAGAGCTTTGTAAATAACATGGTCAAAATGGGAAAACGAAAAAAATTGACTTAAAAATAAGTAGCTAAGATCACTTATTTTTTCTAGCTTATAAGCACACATATATATGTCATCAGCTGACTTATAAGTTAAAAGCTACTTATAAGCAGTTTTGACCACCTTATAAGTACAGAGAAACACACACTTTGCCTTCAAATTAAAATTCATACTCTCCATTCTTAAAAAATTTAATCCAGTTTGAATTTAAGTAGTACTTTGTATAAACTATTCACTCTTTTCATCTTAAAATGATTTAGATCGTTTATCTAACAAGTTTTCGATAAATGTCGTTTTTATATTTTTGGTGATTATTTATAAAGTAAAAAAAGATGAGCCTCATCCCTGAGGATTCGATCAGGCTTGATGGGACAGTCATTTTTTATAAAGTATTATATCCGTTCCTAAAAAATTGCCAGAGTTTAACTTTTTTGCTCAGATTGTGGCACCCTTTGACCGTGAATCATGGAAAAAGTGTATTTAGTTGCAATATATATAAATTTAGTAAGATTAGACTTATTTTAAACGATATATAATTCGTGGTCAAAGAGTACTACAATTTGACCAAAAAAGTTAAACTGTAGTAACCTTTTATGGACGTAGGCAAGATGAGAGATGGAGGGTGATGGAAATAAATGGTTGGTGATGTAATGCATGGTATACTCCCTCCGTCTAAAAATAAAGTTCTCGTTCACTATTCACAGGGTCAAACTTTATTCACATTGTTGGCCTATTTTTGTGTCTTATTTGATAAAATAATATAGTCATGTCACCTCTAGTTTTGTAGATCTTTTCATGTAGTTTTTAAATATGTAATTTTTATTTTTTAATTTCATACCATTTTTCATATAAAATATAATGATTTAAAAATACTTTCAGCCAAACATCGTAACGCGCAATGAAAACTTTATTTGTGGAGGGAGTGACTATAATCTGGCATGCATGCCAGGGGGTCAAGTAAATAATAATTGTTGAATTGGTTCCTTCAAGTAAGAAAGAATTGTCTCTCTTTAGCTCCTTTTCCAATGCATTAAAATAACTACTGCGTTTTACTTCACCTGCTCCCTACTTTTCATCTTAAAAATAAATTCCTGTACCAAGCGAAAAAGGTTAGGTTGCATTTTTTTTTTGGAAATTTACTTTTTTTTCATTTACCGCTGTTTTAATTAGTGTTGTGCATGGAGTTAAACGTAGTTTTGTTCGATTCTATAATTTTTTTCTTAAATTTCTTAAATTTTATAATTTTTTTGTAACTCTTATTAGATTCGTTGTTTGGCTGAAAAAAATATATAAATATATTTAACCATATGAAGAAAATTAATTCTGTATTGGTTTGGGGTGTAGACAATATAAAATTAATTCTATATTGATTGGAGTTATTACAGTTTGGTGCAAAAATTTAATTTTTTCATTCTGAACATTATTAGATTGATCTCATGGCAAATGTAAAAAAACAAGTAGAATTACATCTGAGATAATACATAGAGTGTAAATAAAAGTTTTGATGTTTTCTTTTTATTTTAGAAGTAAACTTTGTATATTTTGATTTTTAAAATCACAAATTCTATAAATTTCTTTAAATAGGATTCCATGAATTTTTATAAACCAACAAAAGTTGTTTAAAAAAATCAATGAGTTTGAAAATATGTCAAAAAGTCATAACTTTTTTGAAAAAATTTACTTTTATCTCTTTTATTCACAACTATTCTATTAATCCCATGTAATTTTTAACCATCATGTCAAGAGTTATTTTTAAAAGTAAAAAAAAGTATCTTCTCTTAAATTTAATAAAAATCAAAATGAAAAAGAGTTTTGGAACGAAAAAAGCATGGTATCCAATCCATGAACATTTTAAAAATATAATTATTAACTTTTTTGAGTACTATTAACTCCATCATAAAGTAGCATCTGTTCATAGTCATATTATTTTCAAACTAATGATGCACAAAGAGTCAATTCCTACGTCTCTGCTAGAATTCAAACCTAGTTGAACTTTCCTATTAATCCTGGAGAGTAGACTTCCTACCCTCAAGCCAGAAGAGAAGTTCTATAAATATTGATGAGTAAATTCTCTAAATTGTCCTTTGTAATACGATATTTTCTGAATTTAGTCCTCTATAAGTTATAATTATTTACGTGATCCTTTATAATTGAGATTTATTCCTAAGGTAATCCTTCGTGAATAATTTTACTCAACTGACGATTAATTAAATGATATTTCGGTATTTGTATCATCTAAATTTAAAACATAGTCTCAAAATCGTAAATTCTATACAATTAAATGTAAAACTAAAAAATACGTTGACTATACATAATTCATGATTTACTAAAAACTTATAAAAAAATCTTTTAAAATTCGAATCAAATGCACATCTTTAATAAGAAAAAACATTTTGGGGAATCACTTCATTAGAAATGATCATTTTAAGAATTTATTCTAAACT